TCTTTATCAGTGCAGATTGGTTATTTATTCAATCGCAACTGGATGCAGAAGATCTATTAGGTATACGAAACAAATACTGCCAATAGAGGAAAATATCCGAGTTCCAGGAAGCACTTCAGAGGAAGAAGCGATCACTGGAACAAGAGGTTTATTGTCCTGACGTTTCGGATTCCGTCTGGAATCCTTAATCATAGGTAATAGTAGAACAGTCTGAGGCATGCGCATGATCACTTCTTCTTATGAAACAAATACTGTCCTAATACATGGCAGGAGTCACTAACAGGCAGCCACCTAACTGCTATCCTTTGCTAATAGAGCATAAGGTGGTCGACGAGGACGCAATATGACTGATATAGCGTTGTTTCAGGCTTTCTCGCTCGCTTCATTCAGGCAAGCAGGGTCAGTTTGTATTAAACTGCGCCACAAAAGGGTTCAGGTGAGAGAGAAGTTCCAATGGCGTGCCAAAAGTGTTTTGGGCGCTAAATGGCAAAAGGGTGCAGAGGGAAAGCAATCTAATCCAGCATCCGGCAGCGTTGCAAGAATTTACCCATGATTTAAAGTGTTTCGACACTGAATGGAAAGCAATAAGTATCAAACGTCTTTCCAAGTAAAAAACCACCCGTCAAGTAATCGGTCTGGTTTACAACGCATCAGCCTACAAGTACAAAACCCTATTTTAAAACATCACTAGATTTTTGAAAGATTGGCTTGATTTTGATAGGTCGGCTTTAAACTCTGGTAGCCATTGTCCATGCTAACATGATTGCACATTTACGAAAATTTCCCTTACAAATTTCAAAAATGAATTGGTGAGCATATGCTTACTTTGCATGAATTGTCTTCCAGCCTGCAAATTTACACCGCAGTTAACAAAATAAACTATGCGGGTTTGTAGAAAAAACAGTGCGGTTCTCAGGGCCGATAGGGGTCAACAATCCGATCAGCGTCAGGGGAGACTGGCAGCCGAGGAAGGGCGGTTGATTTAGCGACTTTCGGCCGTGGTAACTGCGATGCCGTTACGACGTTCTCTTGGACGCACAGGACCGGTCTGTGTAGCCTAATCACAGTGGTTTCCGTTGTGGCCAACAAAGCTCTGTCCAAGAAATTTTGAATAGCTGGAGGCCACCTTGTAGACCCCTGGGAAAGCCTCTCTGACATTCACGCTATGGTCTGAGTCTACCATGTGTACGTCCAAAAGCCAGCAGTTTATCACCCTCCGCTCTGACGATGATCAGATTGTTGACCCTAATTTCACCGCCCCCCTTTCCAACGCCCCTAACAACCACACTATTATTGCAAATGCTTAAGCCCACAAAATGCCTCCTCTTCTATGACCTTAAGCAAGATGCAGTAAAGTTAAGTGTATGGGAGCATGCACCTGACATTTAGGGGACTATTGGGGGGTGGTGTAAACTGGGTTTACCTTGGAGGATGAGGTGATTCGTTCACCGCAGGCGGCGCATACGTTCGTAAAGTTGGCGTCGTAGCACTCGATGCAGTAGGGCGTCTCCGCATTCAGAATGTATCGCTGACCAATCAGGCTTTTGGAGCATTTGCCGCATTGGAAGTTCTCCTCTTCAGTCATTCTATAAGTAGGTCATCAAATAGTGTACGTTATTTTTTGAAAAAAATATAAACGAACACCAGGGAGGTTAAAGCGAACTTTAATGTTGATGTAGATGTATTTTCGAATAGTCAGCAATGGTGTTCCCTCGTTGCGGCAACAGTAACCCTTATATGTTCTAGAATCAAACCTGGAAGCGTTTTTGCTGCATACAAGGAATTATTTCTGAGCAAAAACCCCCCGACTACAGCTACTGGCAACCACCTTCAGAATTTTTATCGACATCTAACCGATCGAGCTGCGCGCATGAGTGACGACCCGTATGTGAAATATGGGTTGCACCATAATACAGATATCCCAAAATAAACATCCTGGTTTGAACCCCCTAACTCAAGGTCATGTTAAATAAACGCTTTGGATTCAAGAAAAAGTAAAATTTAGAAGGCTGTCTGCAGCGATCTTACCTGACAGGTTTGCGGTAAGATCCGGTGAAAGAACGGTATAAACAGGTTTCTGAAGTTTTCGCGACCTTGAAGGTACGGCTACTGTTCTAGTTTAAACACGCCTGCTAACGCTGACTACGAGAGAACGCGAACCACACCGACAGGCTGAACACTCACAGACACACACGTCCGTATTGTTGGGTTAATGCGCCTAATTTGGTTCGGTGTGCTGACGCCCCTCGTTGTCGTGCGCTGATTGGTGACTGTCAGCGCGTGCGTGCGTGTTGCGACCCGGCGAGTACGGCCAACCAATCCGGACGCGCCGTGCTCTACAGGGAACTATTGCACCTACAAGAAAGTGTTAGGTGTCCATGGTCTTTCAAACCCCAATTCCAACCGCTTCCTTATTGAAGAGTACCCTGACTGACATATTAAGCCATGTAAACCTTGATGACGAGCAGCAAATGGTGATCCGATTAAGACCTTTTTGAGGTACAGCAACTTTAAAGTTTCTGAACGCTTTACTAGACAGGTTTCTCACAAAAAACGTAATTTACTATGCATTGTTATTTGTAGGCGCTGCTAACGCAAACAAGAGCGTAAGAGCTGAAAAGGTTATGCGTCAGCTTGCAGGTTTTATATGTCGTTTTTGGAAATTGCTGCTGTTTGTGAGATCGGCAAGTTGCCGACATATTATTATTTAGGCTCTAACAAAGACAAAATACCAAATGATTAGGCTGGTCAGGACAAAAGATTTTATGGGGTATCTACCCTATACGGGTTTAGAAATTTAAGACGCCGAAAATCAGCCATGACCTTTCCTCTGCATGAAGAGGTGTGTCAGGCAAAGCACGACCTACTTCCGCTGACTCACACTAACAGGCAGATGGGTAAGGCTACAACATCGAAGGTTCTGCGCTTTTCAGACGCGAGGCCTGATTGGTGCTTTTACTTATGCTCCGTGGGTGAGGTCACTGCCCTGATGCTTCTGGTGTGAATAATTCAGGCCCTGGATGGCGCGTGTGCAGTTTACACAAATGGGTGTCTCACACTGGGTTTCTCTCCTTCAGCCGGGGAAAGTTATACTGATCGCCCACTTTAAATACCCCTAGTCCCAGAATTCTGTCGTACGAGACCGGTGGTATCAGTTTAGTTTTTAGTTTATTTTTAGTGTGAGTGTAGTTTACTTCTCAGTTTACTCGGTTTTGTTAAGTCTAGCCGAGTTCAGTAAGCCCACATTAGTATATAGTAGTTGTGTAAGTATATTAACTTTGGCGGTATCTAATTGAACTAAAAATTAACTAAACTAAAAACTAAACTTAAACTAATAAACCGAACAGTAACCACAAGACTAATAGCTAGACCTATCTACGGTGGGCGACTAACTTAACGTTTACCCCTCTGCCTAGTATGACTATGTTTGTTCGTGTGTGACGTCCATAGGAATTCAAGTATGGCCTGCAGAGACGTCGGGGTTGGTTTCCACTGTCAATCAGCCATAACCGAAACCAAGGCGTGACGAAATCAGGCGTTGAGCCCTAACATCTCCTGAAACATTACGCCTAACGCAAAAATCGAGCCGATTCAAATTTCTCATTCGTCTTGGCCTACTGGTCTGTTTTCAGCAGATAAAGTTCTCAGTGGCCCTGCCCAGCGAAAGAAATTGAACAGTAACAGCTATAAGAGACTTCGATCCGCCTTGGTGTGTTGAATAAGTCTCACAACTCAGAAGAGCACTACCTACAATTCTAGGGAGACTGGAATTCTCATTTCTCGACTATCAGCCGTCATCAGACCGCATAATAAATCACAAGGGGCCCACCATCCGAGGTTCGAATACGTGATCGGTTGAGTAAAAGGCCAGTGCTCTAACTCCTTGAGCCATGATCTTGTTGTCCCGCCGGTTTCGATCGGGATTATTAACATTGGCGGATGCCGCTCATCAATTGGTCACGGGACTCAGTCATCCCATTGAGCCTAGGTTCTCACACTCCAGCCCCACCGGCGGTCGCACAATGGCTAGTGCTATAGGCCGATAGACATTTCCAACAAAGATACGGAGGCTGGTTCTGGTTTATCAGCTGTTTATCAGCTGTCATCAGCCAACCATACGCAACTTTATGTGGAACACGAAACAGGGCTCTCACCTGTTATCTGTTGGTTAGATCTAACCAATGATGGCTCATAAGGCGGAAACGATCAGCTGGTCTAGGTTCAATAAGAAAGGATTTTGGATTTCCAATCAACGGATCACGTGTTCGAGCATCGTTTGTTGCACAATCTAGTGTAGAGTGTGGATGGCTGATTATGGCTAAGAAACTATAAAGTGTCGCTCCAATCTCTATTTTCCAGTTCGGTTATGTTCAGCCTATAATATGAGCCGCTGTTTGGTTGCATGTGGGTCTCAAGAACGAGCTCAAAGCGTGTGCATCCGCCAGATTTTGGTCATCTTCCATGGCCTTGGGACTCATGACAGCCTGTTTTACGAAGAATTCAAAAGTTACGCGGACCTAATTCTCAATGATCTAGCCTGATGACAGAGAGGAAGATATACGAAGTGTCGTTTAGAGCCCATGCATTAGACACGCAAAAAGCCGTCGGAATATGCTACTGACAAGTGCGTCCAGTTTAGTTACCAGTTTCCGCTGGTACAAATCCAACTCCAAGTCGGTGGATGGACCATGGCAGGCTGGTATGTAACTGGTCAAATATTTTAGTTTTATTGAATAGAAGAATCCTATACTGTTCAGCCGGCGTTGAGGCAGGATCGACTTACACCTGCAGATAATACTCCCTGGTATTGGTTAGTATCCAATCCCTCTCTTTCTCGCGAGTATGGTTAATCTGCTTCACTTAGCGGTTCTGCCACTCTTCGTTGTGAATACATCATGTCCGAGTACATAAGTTAACCTTAAAACCTCCTCTGTAATAAATGTTAAGATACGGACAATACTCAACCTCGTACAAATTGAAAAACACGCATCCCAAGAAATTTTAATTTGAAGAAG